GCCCATGTCCAGCAATCACTGTGCGAGGGGCGGGGTACACCCTGGACAGGTCGCAAGTCCATCACAGGGCCACATAGATACAAACGAGACAAACAACCATTCACTCTCTCACTCACACCTAGGGACAATTTAGAGTTACCAATCAGCCTAACATGCATGTTTTTGGTCTGTGGGAGGAAACCAGAGTACCCGGAGAAAACCCACGCATGCACGGAGAGAACATGCAAACTCCACCCAGAAGGCACCTGGACCGGGGTTTGAACCAGGGACCTGTTCGCTGAAAGACAGCAGCTCTACCAGTTGCGCCACCGTGCTGCCCGAGAAGAATCAAAGTGTTGTCATTACTCAAAGTTCAGTCCTCACCCTGATTAAAGTGTTGGATTTTAAACAGATGTACAGTAGCAATTTTCCACAAATGTTAATGAGCTGAATTAACAATGTAAATAGTAGTGGGTCAAAAATTTATTTCACAATGTAAAACACTGATAAAGTCATACAGAAACCAAATATTTCTAAGTAGTTCTGCAAAAAAAATGGCTCCGCAATTTGTTGAATCACTGAATGCATGCTGTCTTTACACACTGCTTTTTCATTTTGCCATTTTATTTGTTCAGCAAAGAATGACAATATGAAAACTGTTGTGCTGCTGCACCCTTGAAATTAGATTCAAACCATTTTAGAATGAGCTAAAAATCAGATCTTTTTAATACACTTTTACCCTGATATGTAAATCTCTAGAAACAAAAGTGGGTGGACCTTTTTTTCCCCACAGTCATAGGTAACTATGTCTGTGTCACACTTTGTCAAGTGTGGAAGTGTTGGTTTATAATGAGTGTTCCCCTATATCAAATAAGTGACATTAACTTTTTAAAACACATTTATAGCAATTGTATTCCTCTTTGCAGCTCTATACTGGAGAACACCCTCCACCTCAAGATGGCCCACAAGAAGATGTAAGCATTTCAATGGTGCATTTATTCAAATAAGAGATTTGCATTTTTTTATTCTTACATTACGCCAAAACACAGGCTTTGGAAGTACAGTATATGCATGGCATGTGTTGATCAGCATGCTTTGTGTGTATATATATATATATATATATATATATATATATATATATATATATATGTGTACAAACATATATATGTATGAGTGTTTCTATGTGTTTAACTCAGGAGGAATGTGAAGGGGGCTGTTCCAAGGGGTTGCCAGGGGTGCCAGGCATGGCTGGTGCCAAGGGTGAAAAAGGAGACCAGGGCAAGCCTGGTGGAACCCCTATGGACAGTTGTGACCGGGTGAGAATTTGGGGGAAATTTGAGTTTCTTGATTAAATAATTTCAATCTCACTTGCATGATTTTCCAATCTAAGAAACATTTTGTGTTAATAAGTCGCACTGTTTTTCTACTTTGAAGAATGCAAAACCCATGGTTTGCATTGCGTTTGATTGCGCATGGTTTAATGTGATCCCTCTTTTCGTGACTGTAGTGCATTCCTCTGATATCTTCTCTTGTTTGTATTCAGTGTTTGGAGAGACTGCAGGCAACACAACCATTGGTTAGTTCAAATAATGTTAAC